GTAATGCGTTACTGCCTATGATATCATATTAAAGAGTAATGTACGTGATGACACTCGAAAAAGTGACAAATCCCCGAATTTGGGATGAAGCATTGATTATTTATGCGTCGATTTAAGTTTAGTTGCACAATTTGACTGTGCTGGAGCTTCTTGTCTGAGTGGAAGCGTTCACGCTCGTTGCCCAACTGGAAGTGGAGGAGCACAAATATTTGACGGGCTTTGCACTCCAATTAAACTGTTGCTTTGAATTAAATGCTCTATCGGCCCCGCCCCCCAGCTTTGTCCGTCACAAGCCCTTGTAGTGCCCATTAGTTACTTCGTCGCTTGGTTGACAAAAGGGCGTAACTACAATTTTGAGATGAGCCCGAGGAAGTGTTGAGTTATATGGACATCAGGGTTCATCGTCGAGTGTAGTTACGCCCTTTTGTCAGGGGGCGACGACTTGTTCCGATGATGTCCCGAGTCACTGCCTAAATATTCTCGCCATTTTCCTCGTGCTAATCACATGAAAAGAGAGGACCCGCGATAAGTCCAGTATCTGAAATTAAAAGCCAAAAAGCAGTAAATATATTTTCTTGGATACGGGATATCCTGGAAAACTGCGTCTGACCCCATATATTGATAGCCTTCATAAGGTTTGAAAATATATATCTTGAGCCCGCAGTGTTAAAAATCAATGAAAATTGTTTGGCACATTATAGAGCCCTTCATGAGCATATTTCCAATGCTCAAAATCTAAAAATGCGCATCTTTATCACATCGTCTGAAATCTCCTATTATGTCCTATTATTCAAGAGAAAACGAACCCAAGTATCTCTTTGACATTTTCTGTGCACACTTTTGTATCAGTAAAGGAAATTCATTTAAAATTGCAAATTAAATCAATCTTTCAGTTTTCTTCTAAAAAACCAAAACATGAGGGGGGATCTGCAACGTTGAATTCGAAGTCGCGCAGGTACACGGACTTTATGTCCACTTTTTTTACGTTCACAGACTTTTCGTCCAATATTTACAAAACACACATAATATTTTCCTTCAATGCATATTTTTTTTTTTTCATCAATTAAAATGAGAATAATCCATACAGGATGCGCAAAAATTTCAAAATCATGAGTTGAAAAACGCTGACTCCGCGAGTTTAAATATTAGAGCCTAACACAGAGCGGAGCGGTGTGTTACCAACGCAGAACGCACACTGGCGCCTACAAACCTAACGGGATACTTCACGCATTGCGCAACGCGTGAAGTATCCCGTTAGGTTTGTAGGCGCCAGTGTACACATTAACATATGTTTTTATCTGCTGTTAGAGTCTGTTCGCTTTCATGACTTGATTCATGAATGAAATATTTTTAAGAATGAAGGTGGTAGTAGTAGTATGCATTTATTTTTGAGATGGTTCCTGTCATTTAAATGAGAAGAAAAAAATGTGGACATAACATGTCAATTCGGACAATTTTGGACATATTCATGGTTGGACATTAAATCATGTGGACTTAATATAGACTGGACTTAATGTTTAGTGTACATGAAAAGCGGTGGACATTTATTTAATGGACGAAAGGTAGGTGGACATAAAGTCCTGGAAGCGTCGCGCATTTCTTTACTTCAGCCACAAATATATAGGACATGTAAATGAACAGATCCTTCAAAATGTTTAGCCACTTTTCCATAACTAGTGACCGTATATGTAGACTTTTGCCTCTTTTCCCTCTAATTAATTGAAAATTCAAACAAAATTTAAATTAAGACATCGCAATTTATGCATACACCTTTCGAAATTTTACGGAGCTAATTCTTTTGATCCATTATTTCCTCTTCTTTCTGTTGATTCTTATTCCCTTATCCAGTGCCGGTTCGCAGTGCCCTGCAGCAATAAATCGTAAAAACGCATCGCAACGTATTAAATTGTCAATGACGCCAACTCCTGAATACAACTATTCGTGCTTCAAAGCTGCCTTCGTTGCATATGCAAAATATTGAAGGCGCACTGAAATTCCTTACTCGCTAGGTCGCTGCACAGTACTCCTGGTAAACGCGCGGTGTCTTGTGACTCTGAAACCCTAAAAAAGATTTCCTCCGGCTTGGTTGTAGATAGTTTTGAATTTAGAATAGCAGAATCTTCTGTTTTAACGCGTCAGCCTGTATTATAGCCCCGTTTTTTAAGTTTCCTCCCGATTCGACAGTATGTTTCTCGTAATATTACTGCATAATTTGAGTTATTAATTTTTTCTCAGCGACTCAGAATATAGTGCCAAGATTCTTTCATATAACCTGATGAAAATGTATCTAAAGTCAAATATACGTGCTCCTTGATGCGGATGAGACAGATGTAAGATGAAATTGTAAATCCGTGCGAGGACGAATTTTATCGCATCGCGGACTTATCGCACGAGTTTGAATATTTTCCTCGTGACGGATATTACGTTTCAACTATTTCCACGACTGTTTTCATTTCGATTGAGTTCCGTCTCGTATTGCTTTCACTTCGTATTAAGCTTCAACTCATATCCCTCATGCGTGAGCTTTCCTGTCTCTCTACGAGGCAGCATCCTCTGATGTAAGTGATGTTTCAGAGCTGAGATTTGAGAATGTAAGCATGCCCGAGTTGTCCTCTCTGAGAGATGAAGTCACTGAACCTTGCAGTCGTTAAAATCACGCATTTTGTTTCGAGTCTTCTTCCTCTCTTTACGTGCCGCCTCAATCTTGTGTGAGGGCTGCTATTCACAATTCCGCCGAATCCATACACCAATAGGAGGCATTTCTGCCGAACAGAACCATGTGCATTAAGACATGAGCTCTGAGATTCGTTGAAATATGCGCATTACAGGGCTCACGTCACAATGCACACTGTTCCGTTTGTCAGGAATTCGCCCAATAAGTACAAATAAAGAATGATTACTTCCACCTCCATGAGAGTAGAAATGACTTCCGTATTTTGTAAAGTAATTCCATTCATAATTCTAGCGTGAAGGGATTAAGTAGAAACGCATAAGTAGGTATTGCTTTCCTCTGATCTCTAATAATATTATACCCCTTTTAAAAATGAAACAATGTTACATTCAATTGAACTGTTGGCCTTTGGGTGACTCCACTCTCACCTTGATTCCTTCTCTTCAAATTGGAATTGGTGTTGTGAGATTTGCTAGTATACTATTGACGAATCACCTTTTGAATAAAATTTTTGAAGACTGAATACAGGTTTCTTTTTAAACTTATTTTCTCCGCCTTTCTTCTTTTTCTCTATTATTTTTTCGATTTTCACCTAAAAATTATGCCACGTTCAGAAAAAAAACACATTGGATCTAGAGTCCAGACTCTTAAAAACATCGACAAGAAAAAATACTCTTGATTCAATCGGATTTTTGCTTAAATCAAGAACCAAGCCTCTTAATTTGAGCGGATTTCCTTTTAATTTAAGCATAAATCTGATTGAATCAAGAGTATTTTTTCTTGTCAATGTTTTCAAGAGTCTGGACTCTAGATCCATGTGTTTTTTTTTCCAGTGTAGGATTTTTTGTTGTGAAATCTACGTTGAAATATTGCAGTCACTTTTTTTAGCAAGCGAATTGTTAAATCTGCAATTTCATTTTTTCCGTGTGCGCATCAGAGGAGCGAGAGAAAAATTGCGTTGTCCTGCAAGAAGATATAAATGAATGTCGATGGAGTTTTCTGTGATGCCGCGCCGGAGCATGGAGCCGCGGCCGGGGCCGGGGGCGTGGTCAGAGCAGCCGCCCGTCGCCAAGTGTCTCGACGGCCACCAATCCGCTCACTCGGCCCCCCTCCCTCCCCCCGCAGTGATCCTGGAAAAAGAACCATGGAGGATTAAGTTCTCGGGGCATCCTCATCATCCGCATTGAAAATCCCATGTCTTTCGCTCTCCATATCGTCACCTTCCAGGCAAAGTATCACAAGCGCCATGCGACGTTTAAAAATTTCCGCCGCCATTTTATTTTTTTACTGAGAAATTGTTGGTTGAATCTGTTCGAAAATTTCACTAAATTTTATCGGCAGCACAAAGAAAATTCGGTGTAATTTTCGGACAGCTTCGTTAAACAATTTCTTTGTAAAAAAATATAATGGCGGCGGAAATTTTTAAACGTCGCATGGCGCTTGTGATACTTTGCCTGGAAGGTGACGATATGCCGCAGTTCTCCGTCATGCTTAAAATAGCACCGCATCGATTATACTCCCACCAAACACCATGCTAACGTTTTTAAAATAGTGCATTTTTTTTGAACTAACGGCTCGTAGAAAAATACCCATTTCTCCTCTCGATTTATTTCAAACTTTCTCAGTATTATTCCTCATTATTTTGGCAGAGAAATGAAGAGAGGAAGTGCCCATTAAGTACTAGATGCCTCACTGGAAAAAAACACATTGGATCTAGAGTCCAGACTCTTAAAAACATCGACAAGAAAAAATACTCTTGATTCAATCAGATTTAAGCTTAAATCAAGAACCAAGCCTCTTAATTTGAGCGGATTTCCTTTTGATTTAAGCTTAAATCTGATTGAATAAAGAGTCCTTTTTCTTTTCAATTTTTTCAAGAGTCTGGACTGTAGATCCAATGTGTTTTTTTTTTCCAGTGCTTGAAAGGGAAAGATTTAGTAGGGAAAGGTTTAGGGAAGGGAAAGTCCCCACTAGATTAGCTGAAAACCTACTTTCCTTCAGATTTTTTTGTTCATACTACCACTAACATCCCGTTCTCATCTCATAGTACTTCCTTACGCTCTGCGACACCCACCCGCCACCAATAGTGAACCTACCGAAGCTCCGCCTGCAAATTACATATTCTCATTCCCTGCCTTATTCCATCCATCCATAATTTGACAGGGTGTCCTCTACGTTTTCTGACAGGGATTTTTTTTGTTCATTCCATTCAATTTGTTGACGGTCTGTTTGATTGATTTTTTTTTGTTCTATGCGACTTTTTCCCTAGTGCTCCTCTGTTTTTTCTGCACATTTTTCTAAATGAAGCTTATTTTTGTGATTTGGTTAGGTCTGGTTCAAGAATCGTCGTGCTAAGTGGCGGAAACAAAAGCGGGAGGAGCAGGAACGACTGCGGAACTTGCAACACGAGCAAATGAAGAACCTCAACCGGAGCCTCAAGGTGGAGCCTTCGTCAGAGGTGAGCCACGGTCACAGCGCAAGCACTGTCGTTCACTACCTCCAGCACGCCAATGACGACGCCTCTTCAGACCTCGAAGTTGCTTGAACTCCCATCTCATAGCTTCACTCGAATCTCCTCGGCCAGAAATGGAGCAGTTTGCGCTCGTCACAGAATCGTGTTCCGATGCTCGATTCTTGTCTCAGCTAAAAATAATATGATCTGCCCAAAGAGCAAGTCTCCACGTTCAATATGAACCAAGATCGCGCTTTGAAGAATTTGGTTTATGACGTCATCCACCGCGGTAGTGACACCCTTGGTTTCTTTCACCTTAACTTCATCAGTCAGGGAGAGGCACATATTTACACTGGTTGCTCACCGTGAAACTTGGATGAAAGCAAGGTGGAAGAAATCAAGGGTGGCACTACAGCGGAGGATGACGTAATGAACCGAATTTTTTCAAAGCGCGCGCGATATCTCGGTCAATATTGAACGTATAAAGCTGCTGTTTGGACGGATCTTATTATTTTTAACCGATCCACAAGAATTAAGCTCCAAAACTCGATGCCATGATTTAACTATTAAGTTAAAATCAGGAGTAGGAGGGAGAAAAGTTGTCTGACCGAGCGTTGAAGATCCTTCATCTTCTTTTTTAAGTCAGAGAGAGAGAGAAAAAAATATGAATCAGCGTAAACTGCGATGGTGGAACCATGACTGATCATCGATAAGCTACTTTAGTCTTTCATTCAAGCGTTTAGCCTGTGGTATTGACGAATAAGAAGAAATTTCTGTTAATTGCAAGTTTCCGACTCTTCTGAAGTGTGGCACCTCGGAAGCAGAACATGGTGCATAGGGTTTGTACGATGCAACCCCGTTTGTAAGTTGCACTTGCAGTTGACAGATTTCTAGAAAAAAAACTGTCTACGTATAGGTTGGGAGTCCTAATAAAAATGACACAAAAATTAATGCCTAATAATCACTAATACTATTAATATGCGTCCAGGAATGATGGTGCGTAATAGGTACAACTTCTCATTGAGTTTCAAGTATATTTTATTAGATATACCTATTATGACTATTCCACATACACTCGTGTAACTTTATGTCTTCCGAAGTATACGGAATTAGTATGATGAATGCCTTTGAGTGTTAGGCACTTTTAAAATCTACGATTCATTCACAAAAATGGTCAAAACTTAATTCATTGTTATCTCGTGTCTCTCATCACATTCAAATGGAGAAGAATCTTCCACATCAGTTACAACAGTTTTAAGGCTACTTCTCATGGTGTCAAAGATTTTCTCCAAAGGATCGATCATGAATTAAAATCCTACGATTTTTCGCACGGTCACATTTTCATTCATGCTTGAATTAACTCGAACCCAATATTCCTGTGATCGCAAATTTCTTCATCTAAAGTCTTCGGATTTTATCTGAGCACTTCATTAGGATAATAAGCAATCGCAGGCCTCGAAATGTGCTTGTCGAAGAGCAGAATAGCAGTAACAGTACAAAAACCTCGTAGCATTTCCAATTAGTGTGATTGAATTCTGAAGGAGGCATAGAGCGAAACCTATCAAGAACTTCCGCATTGTTCAATTATTCAAATTAATTTTTCAGGAAAATGCATTTTAGCGACATTTCGATCGAGCAGCAAGCATGAATCGTAGGGAATAAATACTAGGCTCTCTTGCAATGAAATGAAACTTCTAAAATATGTCTCGACAAAGGCCCTCCTGTTCAAATAGCTTTCTTTTGAAGGAAAAAAAAAAAAAAAAAAAANAAAAAAAAAAAAAAAAAAAAAAAAAAAAAAAAAAAAAAAAAAAAAAAAAAAAAAAAAAACACGAGAAAGCAAATCAAAAGAATAAAAATTTCAAATCATCAATCTCTCTCTCTTTTCTTATTTGGATAAATCTTACCGTGCTCCTTCTTTCATTACAACTGCAATTTATATTTTTTTCTGTCGACCTAATGGTAGCGTTACGATTCTGTAATAGAACCGCTGACCAACTAGGAAGCCCATGATAAAAACGATTAGGACTTGCAGTTGATTTTTTAGATTCCATCGAGGGAATGGAAATGCCTTAAAAAAATTAGTCACATTAAGGTGACGGCTAACTCAGCCGACTCGAAGAAAATGAGGGCAGATCTGATTTTTTTTATTCGAAAACTTGGCATTTTTATTTCTTTCCCCAATTTTCTGGATTCGCAGAGATGGCTTCATTCTCTCTCTCTCTCTTTAACAACGAGCCTAATTATCGGCAATGTGCAATCTAGATGATTTTTATTATTTTAGATTTATAGTTGTAAATATATGTATATGCATCCTATGGTTGTTTCTTATTTGTGTAATATACGATGTTTTAAATAATTATTTATGAAGGTATACAAACATGAATGATGGACTTGATTTTGAGCATCAACTCTTTAAAAAAATCTCTCAAACTCGTCGTAGTTCTCTGACCTACGTTGTTAGAGGCACGAAAAAGTTTCAGAATACTAGGTGGTATGATCTTCACATCAAAACGTTTTGTGGAAAAGTCGTTACACAAAAATGAAAGGCTTTTATTGGAACTCATTGACACATATATTTTTCACGACACAAAAGTAACAGAGAAAAATTCTGTGCACACCCACCTTAAAATACTTTTATTTGTATTGTTCAGGGTTGTAATACTCATAAAGATCGAAATTTTTTGAAGAGTATGACTCCATAAGCAAAAGAACTATGTGAATACGTTCCAAAAATTTCATTTTTCTCAATTTTCTTGGAATCATCATTGTGAACTAAATCAACTCACTCTATTTTGGTGTAAAAGTTATGGGAACGGAGCACGCTCGAATCAAATTGATTAAAATTTTTGCCAAGAAAAAAATATATTACATTCCTTGAATGATGTGCGTGTTTTTCTTTCTTTTTTTAAATGTTAATTTCGATGTGGTTAATGAATTAAAAACTTGCAATGTTTCTCGAATTGAATACCTAATTGTCTTTAATATAGGTACCTTTTATTTGTTACTATAGCTCCTATCTTTCATTCAAATCCATGATGATTGTAGAAATATATATTGTTGTGATACTTACACTGATTACCTGTCCTCTTCTCGTTTCAAATCACAAAAGTCGATTTTCATTCTTTGTTTGAAACATGTCTATACACTTTATGACGTCTTTATAAAAAAAATTTAAAAAATGAATAATTAAATAAACGGTTATGAAAATGAATCATTCAAATTGTTCGAGTTTATTTCTCAGACTTTTTGTAACATACCTATATTGCCTATACAATACTTAAAATTGTTTGGTAAAAACCAAAAGTAACGAAAAACAAACAACTGAAAAATTATATTTGAATCGAAAAAACTTTCATTAAATAGTTCCCGCAAAATGAGAGTTCCAAATTATCTAAAAAAGAATTCCAGCTAAAAGGATATGATCAACTCTTCAATAGGTTCTTTCACCGGAAATATATAGTCAATGTTTTCTATGATTTAAAATGAAATGTTTCTCAGCGTTTGTTAAAACATCCGTGGATCGACTAAAGGCGCAGCCGTAAGGAATCAATGTTTTTTATTAGGTCTTTAATTCAAAAACTTCACTTACAGAAGTCGTGCATTTATTCAAATCAAAGTATATATTCCAAATTGTTCTGGCGCACTTAATGAATGAGGGGTTTTTTGGGTTTGATTGCAGCGAATTGATGAGCGCAAGGATAACAAAACTCTTTTTATTCCTGGGAACTGATCGAGCCACCATAAATACCGGTTTGAGCTTTCCGTAATGGTTGATGCCCCGATGAATCGTTGAATGAATCTCAACATAAGTCCAGAAAAGTAAGGACTTGCATGGACAACATCATAGGGCTCAAGTAAATATGCAATTTATCCGTTACGTCAAAAGAGCAACGATATATAAATCGAGCGAAATGGACTCTGAGGGTGGAAATTCAAACTGTTCAATACAGTGAAACTCCAATTTGGAGTAAAAAATATGGATTTTCAGTTCTCGATGCTACACGCTTTCTTTATCAATTTAAAGAACATTATTGAGTAAAAAAATTCAAGCCATATTTACATTGTTAATAATATTACAAGCGTTCAATATTAATCGTTACTAAATTTCGGAAATCACATGTACGATTTCCCCAAATTCGCGATTTATTGGGCTCTGACTTTGGCTTGCTCTTGGAGCCCTGGTAAAAATTGGCGATAGGAGCTGCGTTTCAAAATACCATAGGAGTTCTTATGACCGACTAAAGAAGGCTATAGAAAATCATATATCTGGCTGTAGAAAGCGGAGCAAATCATATAGCCGGGCTATACGAAGCTATAAAAAAGTATACAGTCGGGCTATAGTTTTTATCGCCGGGCTTTACATTTTATCGCCATTGGCTATAAAAGGCTATAAGAAATTGTGTAGAAATTCGTGTGCTTTGGAAATCATTAATTTTTTTACGGAACTCCCTTTATGTTTACAAAACACACATAATATTTTCCTTTAAAAAACATTTTTTTCATCAATTAAAATGAGAATAATCCATACAGAGTGTGCAAACATTTCAGAATCATGAGTTGAAAAACGCTGACTCCGCGAGATTAAATATTAGAGCCTAACACAAAGCGGAGCGGCGACGCACTAGCGCCTACAAACCTAACAGGGATACTTCACGCATTGCGCAATGCGTGAAGTATCACTGTTAGGTTTGTAGGCGCCAATGCGAGTTTCGCGCTCTCTGCCCGCCCGCCCGCCGCGCCGCAGAGTTCCACGGCGTATGCAGCAACTATTTCACATCAGAGGTATTGCACAGGATCATAAGAAATTGAAGGCGCTCCAACATATTAAGAATGACAGGCATCCTTCAAAAGTACGGAGCTTTCCTTGCAAAATATATCAAGATACTACGGCACAAAAGGAGAGCGGTAGTCCAAAAACTCACTGAGTCCTAGTATCCGTATTTAGCAACGTTTAGCATAAACTTTATCGTCTGGCTAATGCTTAATCGCCATCGGCTATAAAAGGCTATAAGAAATTGTACAGCCGGCTACAGAAGCTATTGGAAATCTTACAGCTGGCTTTAAGTCTATGGTATTTTGGAACACAGATTCTACTGCCAATTTTTACCGGGGAGGGCCAGCTTTTGGAGTTTTTTGGGTTTTTTTTTGCCAAACGCGCAGATTTAGCAACTTTAAGCTGCGATGTAGTTCTTTCATTTTATTGCTCTTGCATCTTAAAGTTTTAAAATTTTCATGGAGGATCCAAGGATCCTCTTTTCTGGCTGAGGGGCTTCTTCCGGAGGCATATCACTTCAATTTGTCCCGGCGGCCCTATTCGTTGGGCAGTCTTTTGAATAAAAGACATCTATCATTAGCTCACTATCTTTACCCGATAAATCGCTCAATAGAGTATACTGGAAAAATACAACCCCCCCCCCCCAATGGTTCGGCGCTCCTAAAAAATATTGGTAAATAAATCACAATTTGATTCTGTTTTTTCTCCATTTAAATGCCCCAAGCTGCTCAAACGAGCTGAAGCGCATTATTTATTCATATATCAATTAAATTCTAAACGCTCGCCAACATCGACGTCGTAATGAGATTGGTCGACCGGCTCTGGAGTTGAATGCATTATTAGCCAATAATAATTTACCGCTGCTTCCCAGAAATCGCCACTTTGCAATTTGCGACCGTAGAATTGTTGATTGGCTGCATGAAGGATTCCAGATTGGTTTTAATTAGTTTTCCGCAGAATGTCACCCAAAATGCCGTTTGCCAGCTAACACTATAGAGTCGTGTCATCGGGGGGTTTTTTCGCTTGACCTCTACTGCCGTGCTAAGGAAGAACGCTGTATGAACATTCGAGAGTTGCCAAATTTCTCTTGATAAAATATGTATTTTTGACGATGTCCGTGCAAATTTTTTCTTGAAATTTTAAGATATTTTAGATTAAATTGCGTGCAAAATTGTCTAAAAATTTTGGGGGAAAATATTCA